AGTAATGCCTAAAAGTTGTCTTGAGACAACGATTTTCTTAATCGGTTTTTCACGTATTTCACGCTTTTACCTCTCATGAGTTATATAACTGAACTATGTAATTAACGAAATCACGTTTCCTTGACTTGTCAATTTTTTTTTATTTTTAGCATTGAGCAATACTTTTATGTAGATCGGCCCAAAATTGAGTTGGACTATCGGCCCACCGGGACAAGTCCCGATATCCCGATAGGCCAATCCGCCCCTGAATTTGGTATCCTCGCTGTTAACAGTGTTTTCTGCCATGATGACCTAAATTTAAAGTTATTCAAAGACCTTCAGTATTCAAAAATATATTTCAGGACAAGACATAACTGTAAATTACAACGTTCTGTGATTTCACTGCGTGAGAAAAAGAACATCCTGCAAAAAAATCTCTGTTATATATATTCTCATTCTACTTTTGTAAACATGTCTTGAATTTGAATATGTAGCAAAAATAAAGCTTTACACACTTACTAATTTTTCTTTTTTTTAATCTCTAGTATTATAGATGTAAACAATATATATATACATGTTTACACGATACTGTTGTGACGTGGTTTTCAAGTTATCAGGTGAAAATAAATATACGTTCAGTCCACTTAATTCTTTTTAACGTTATTACAAGCTATAACACTGTTGTAACTTGTACACCTAAGTTTTCAGCCTCTCCTATAATATTACACAACGTAAAAAAATAACTCATGCAACTTAGCACGATAGCTAACACAGATTCACTTTTGAAACAACTCACTTTCTATCCAACTTTAACTCAAAGTCCTAATTAACAAAACGGAACGTTCTTATATAACGTATGTTCAAATATACTGGAACTGTACATCATACTCTCAGAAATTTCTGGATGATCAAGGTCTATATTAACTTCCCGAACCTAACGTTATTATCAACGACCCGCATCTTTCTCTAGCTAACAATGTTAAAAATGTATAGCTTACAACACTGCCTCTTTCTGGATTGTGAAGTCTATTGAACTATCATAATGAAAGAATAAAACACTACACTAAATTCACCAAGTATTTTTGGTGGGTTTCTCTTCCAAGCCTAGACAAGACAAGATGACAATTTGTCTCTTGTTGTCACTGGCCATTCTGTCAGTGGGGAAGTTCCCTACTAGAGAGTGTCGTGTGAATCTGCTGATGATTTAACTTTGATGATCCTCTAGAAGCAGTATCATTAGGAATGCCAAGCTCCTCTGCAGGTTGAGGTTCAGCTAACAAGTTCTTCTCTGTAGTTACCCAGTTGGTCATTCTCTCACTGATGTACTTCCAAAGATGATAATGGTGGACGACCTTTGGTTTGAACCATCTATTTTTTGAAGACCTACTTGAATTTGGTGCTTTTACTCTCTCACAATGAGAACTGTTCAAACATATCAGTTCAGCTCTATGGAATCCCATTTCATCAGCACTCATAATATAATTACCTTTCGATTTATCTCCAGCGGATTTCAGTCTTTTCTGTGTAAAATCATGCACATCCATGAGTGTTCCAACCACCAAGTCCTAAGAATATACCAAAGTATTTAGTTCCACTACACCTCAGTCATTAGATGAATAATTATTTCTAATAACTCATGATCTGCATATTTTACTGGTTTGTGGTGCAATGACTACTGTCCCTGTTTGCAGTGAAAGTTCAATCTCTGTTGTAGTAATTGCCATGTAGTACGTGGGGATTTTCCAATCACTAACTGCCAAGCTATCTGAAGCTAGCCTAACCCCACATCTATGTCTACCCTTGAAATCAGTTTCCAAGACGCACTCTTCTTCAATGCCAATTACCAACACATCATGAGGTGTGAAGAAGCTTTATATGGTGAGAGTAATTTCCAACTTCCCTTTTGGTGAAATTCTGTGTCCACATGCTGTTCACATCAATCCCCCTTTTTTCTTCGTATTTGGAGACAATTTCTCATCTTTCATTACAAAATTGGATCAAATAACTAGTTGTAGCTTTCGAACAAGTGCCAATCAGCGTACTGCAAGATTTTCCATAGATAGGCTCATGGGCTAGTGTATTATTTTCCTCAAATAATGAGCTTCTTCTCTCAGTTGGGATAATGGTGTATTATCAGCTGTTAATTCCTTATAGTGTCAGCCTGAATGGCCACTTCCTTACAATTATAGCAGTTACTTCTTCTTAGTATCCCTTGGGAGGGGTTCTTATTCCGCACAGGTCTTTTCCTGCAGTTCCTGGAAATATGTCTCTTCAAGATACACTTGAAACACTGGTTGTCTTGTGGGCTATTTTCTCTGTTCTGTTTAATTAATTCTTTCAAATATTCTAGTCTATTTTTAGGCAGAGTTGGTGTTTCAATATTACAGGATCTAATACGCCCATAACATCTAGATGGCCCCATTAGCAGCTTATCTGCAATCTTAATGGATTATAGTTCCTTTGCTAACAGCAGAGCGTCCTTTAAAAACGTACATCTACTCTGTTTCAGCCTAATTCTCATATCCTTATCTTATAACATCTGTAAATTGGTCACATGTCAATGAGTCTATCATCTCACAAAGAGCATCTGGGTAGGATAGCTGGGTAAGCCTTTCTAACTCTTCAGCAAGTTTGGTTAAGGTTTCTTCTTTCCTCCACACTCCATTCTAGAGCTTTACTCTTGATACTTCTTTCTGGCACAACACTCTGAACCTGTTAGACAAGGCAGCTAACCGTGCTTGATAGTTGTTATGACTTTCAGCTGGAAAGTTGTTTAATGTTTTCAAAGCTGGTCCTTTTAGATGGCATCAAGATGGATGGCCTGTTATTCACTACCCCACCCATTCATTTTAGAAATGATTTCAAATTGAGTCTGGTATGACTCTTATGGTTCCTTGCCATCATAGTCTGTTGATTTCTCAATTGATAAATGTTGAACTGGCCAGATAAACTCTGGAACTGGATTTTGTCATGTCATGTCTGGAGCAGTTGAGGAAGGTCCTTCAGTAACAGGTGGTACAGCAGTTGTAGTAATAGGTGTAGATTGAATAAGTTCTTGTAATATATCTGGTTAGTATAAAATGTTTCAGTTGGAACTTTTGAGCAACTCTAGAAAGAAGTGTGGTTTGGCTGGTTTACTCTTTACACTTAATAATTTGTTATCCAGATGTTTTATTCTGTCAATTATGCTCTTTCTACCTTGATTTTTTTCTTTACTTCACTTTTGGCTTCATCAATTTTGTCATTACAGTCTTTCTGTACTTCCTCAATTTTATTATTACATCTTTTCCATACCGCTTCAATGTTATTATTGTAATCTTATTGTGTATCTCCAATACTTTCATCTTTAGTTTTCTGTTTCATTCTTTCTTGTCTTCTTTTAATTTCCTGTCTATCTTCTTGGTCTTGACTTAGTATTTTAATCATCTCAAGTAACATTTGGATCACACTACTTGACCTCGAGGTCGCCATCTTTAACAGTTGAAGTTTAGTCAAAAATCTATTTAATTTTACTTTACTTTCATCAAATGATCCCACTGCTGACACCAAATGTTGTGACGTGGTTCTTTCGTTGCAAGTTCTTTAAATTATCAGGTGAAAATACTTCAATGTCAAGTCCACTTAAACGAAAACACTTTAAACTATTTCTTCTTTTAACGTCATTATAAGATCGAATATTTTTGAATTTTTACACCTAAGTTTTAGCCGCTCTAACTGAATTCACTTCATATTTGTACAACAAGCGCAATAACTAACACAGATTCACTCTTGAAACAACTCACTTTCTACCTAGCTGTAACTCAAACTCCTGACAAACGCTTCATGGAACGTTTTTATTTAATATATCTTCGAATATACTAGAACTTTACGTCACATTTTTGAAACAAGACTTTACATCACAAGTGACGAGGAACCCACTTTGAGACTAATAATGCTTGGAGACTTCATAATAATGCTTTTACTTCATTACCCATTCAAGCCGTCTCCAAGCATTATTACATCCTTACAAGGTTTAAATGTTCCTGAACTTAACGTTATAATCAACAAACTGTAGCTCACTCAAACCAGCAACAACATTAGAAATATATAATTTAAACAATATTATAAAGCCATTCAAGAAGTAACGATGAATAATTTTTCCATTAGGCGTTATTTACGAAATAAAGATATTAAAATAGTTTTCATAGAAGTAGTTATAATGTTTGTGTAAACGTGCTGTATATAATTTGTATTTCAATTTGGAGAAACTATATGTTTACTTATCTAATAACATATATATATTATTCAATAGTTTTTAGTAATATAAACATATACTTTACCAAAAAACGTGTTGAACTCACAAAGGAGTTTCTTTTTCCTAAGCTGTGACAGCTGAAAGGAATCTTTTTCTCCATGTTTTTCCAAGCTCTGACCCATGTTAAAGCTTCAATAGGATGCAGAGAAGATTACACCATCTGTTTGTTTGGTGATTTTAATCTGTAAAAACAGTGGTTGTTTTTAATTTCTAACAATAACACCATTCAACAATAGAGATAATCATTATTAAGAAAATATTAGACATTTACTTCCAAACAGTCATTACAAGAATAGCAGAAACAAAGTCGAAATAATATATACACATATATATATATATATATATACATATACATATATACATACAGAGATAAGGTTTTTTACGTTTAATTAAAAACTTAATAATTTCGGATGTATAACAATGACTGAAAGGTACTCTTCTTACATTAATAGTGAAACTTATATTTTCAAAAATTTTATACAGTATACAACAGTATATCAACGAGTTAATAACTAGTACTTATGTGTCCTGTAAGTAAGGTATACTCCACTGATTATTCTTTCTTTAACGTCTTTATTTTGCAGTGTTAGCTTAGTATATGGATTTAGGACTAATCTAATCCGTCACCCAGTGGCACAACACTAAAAACTGGGTTTCGATACCCGTGGCCCACTGTGTAGCTTTGTGCTTAACTTCAAACAATAAACAATAATATTCTAACATAAATCTCCTGAGCTGGTCGAACCTAGTAAATTACTGTTACGACATCGGAAGTCACGTGACTCTGGGAGCATGCGCGCTGGAGTTTCTAGAAGGATCGTGACTTATCGGGGAACCTCACGAATAACCCAGTATTTGCTAGACGCCCTCTTTTTTTAGTATATAAAGGCAGATAGATTGGAGATAGAGATAATTGAGTCAAGCGAACAGTAGGCAAAGTAAGTAAAGTGTGTGACTCGCTGTGAATTATAGCGTGCGTTTATAAAAGTAGTTAAGTTAAAGTGACTGTGGAAATTCTGTGTATTGCAAAGTTGTATCGAGAAAGAATAAATTAGTTTTAATTAAGAAAGGACTTGTATCGCTGAAGTTTCTCGGAAAGAATTTCTACGGGAAATTAACAAACAAGCAGATAGGTAACATTACTATTGAATTTACTGCTGAAAATGTTTCTAATAGTGACAGTACCCAAATGATGAAACAATGTAGTCTAATCTTTATATAAAAAACAAGAAAGAAAGAACGTAAAAAACACAGTATATGTAATTATTTATACTCACTACCAGGTTGTTTATCAGCTTTAATCGAAGTATGTAGATTGCTCTGATCGGGAGTTAATAATAAAACTGTGCACAAAATTCTTATATTTTTGCATTTGTTTTTACCCATAGGCAATACTATAATGTAGTTTTCTCTCTAGAAACTTATGAAGAATTATGTTTAAAGGCCAGCGAAACCGAACTACCTAAATAAAAGTACCAGTGCAAGTATCTTTCAATAACGCTCTACGTACCTTAGTTCAGCAGCAAGCAGTAAAATTCCACCTGCAGCAGACAACCGTCTCACCTTCAAGCAGGTGGTGTAATAACTGATTCTATACAGTTATTGGTTAACAGTCTCAGTATAACAGGTGTTTCTTACAGCTTAGCTTGGAAAGATACACACATGGGTATATATATACAGACACACGTGTACAAGTATTATTTATGTCAACTATAAATATTATTTAATTTATTTTGTTTAAAATTCAAGCGCTCAGTATATAACACAATTGTTCGATTTTTTTTTTTTTCAATTTGCTTTGTAAAGTTGAGGTTTGTAATAATGGCTAACAATCGCGTTCGAGATATTGCATGAGAGTGTTATATGACTAGAAATGGTTCATTTTTGTATTTTACGTTCTTTATTCTATTAAAACTATTTGTATTGATAAGTATAAAGGAACTAAATGAAGGAACACTGTTGTTTACTGAATAAGCATTCGATTATATTAAGTGGTTAGATCAAACTATTAATTATCATTTTTCTTTTTCTCCAGTGGGATAGGTTTGGAACTACTACGTTATATGGCCCTGACACACAACTGGGTTATTCTAGGCCTATATCATTGTTTCCCAACATTTTCCGCTGCAGCGAAAACAATGGGAGCGCATGCACCCTTCTAATAAAGTTTTAGACCAGTGGTTCCCAACCTGGGGTCCGCGTAGGTAATACCATCTCATTAAACAAGTAAGTTTTTCAATACTGATGTTCTTTTTAATTGCACACTCAGTTACATATGTCTTTTATTTGATAGTGAAAAGTGGGAGAACGAGTTAATTGGTTAATAAAAACAGGTTGTTGGGTACGCGGAATCTTTCAAAAACATGGGGGGGTCCGTGGAGGGGAAATGATAATAAAAGGGGTCCTTGGAGGAGGGAAGATTGGGAACCACTGTTTTAGACCATTAAAATAGTTTACTAAAACGAAAATTGTAAGGCAATAATAGTCAATTATTGTGGTTTAATTTTAACAAATATAACTTTAAAACCCTCAAAACTTTTCCGTCAATCCCCCCTCCAGCGTCCCCTCAAAGTTCACTGCCCCTGAATTTTAAACGCCCACTAAAGACGTTACCGCCCAAATTGGGAAACATTGGCGTATACCTTGCTGCGGTGGTATTACAAACATCATTTTTATCGAGCTTTACAACACGAGAATGGCAAAATATGAGAAGTATTAACGTGTCATCAAGTGTTACACTTCCTGGAGCAGGCTCACGATTTTCTTTTGTGACTTTAGATGGCTCTTGGGGTTCAAAACTCTCTTTATTTAAAACGTCTATACAAAAGTTTTAATAATGCTTGGAGACGGCTTGAATGGGTAATTAAGAAAAACTTTCTTTAATATAGGTTTAACATAACAGCAAATGTACAAAGTTTCGACAAGGTTTTGTCATCATCAGTTTTGGATAGAGATTCATGTCTAAACAGGTTAGTTGGGTTTGCAGGGTGAAGTATATTGAGTGACCTCTTTCTCCTTTTATGGTGTAAGACGTATACCTATGGCTTTAAATATCAATTTCATAAACATATCTCAAGATAGTTAAATCTTAACGCATCTTTATATACAAATTTTAGTTACCTAGAATTAGATGGCCTTTACAGTGGGGATTTATGCTTAACCCGATTCCATTATGTATGATATAGCTGTTTAGTTCTTTTAAGAGTTATTGTTATTTAGGTTTTCCTTGAAATATTTTATTGAATAAGTTATCTGACAACAGTGAAATGTTTGCTTAACTGTCTAACAAATCTCTGAAGTTGTTATGGGTACTCAACAGAATGCAAAGTATTGTTGCGTCAGTGAGGTCACGAGACTAGTGTCACGCGACTTCTCTCGAACCTTCGTGAATTGTCGGGAGATTACTAGATATAGGATAGTCTGGTATATATAAATGGTCACAATGTGACGGGAACAAAGTGTGTGTAGGTAGTGAGTATTTGATCTGCAGTCACAGAGTATTGTTGAAGTTAACGTTCGTTCGTTATAGTGTTTGTTTTAGCGCGAATGTTGAAATTAAGTGTATCGTAAAGTTATATTCGGAAAGAATAAACCAGTTTTATTAAGTAAGGACTTGTGTCGCTAAAGTTTCGTCGGAACGAAGTTACGGAAAGTTAATTAACAAACGGAGACGTAACAGTATAGTGAATTGTGAATGTTTATAAATTAAATACGTTTGTTTTAACTACATTTATCCAAACTGGGTTGGCAACTTCAATTCTGGGTCTGATAAAAGTTTCATGACTTTTTATTGAGTATTCTGGAGATGTTCCTCTTGTTTCGATAGGTAGTACAGGACTGTACCATGCATTAGCTCCACCTTTAGTTGATATGTATTTTAGTTCAATTTGAACGCAGATAGTCATATTCCCTTTCTCCATAGTACAATACGCTAATTAGCAATTAGCCACGTTTTCTTACAGGAAAGATAATTTGTGACCACGTGAAATAGACACTTGTCTTTTCGAGTAATGGTTAAGGGGCAAACATGCCCTTGCGCTCGGATCTCAGAATATGGTGGTAGCGTCTGCAAGGTGGAGTTTGTGTGATGTGATAACGTAATGGCATATATAACCAGGTTTGGACATAAAGAGTAACGTTAATAACTTTTTAACCTTTTAGAGCTTTTGTAATATTTTGGTTTTTGTGCTTAATATTTGCCATCTCGGGTAAATCGTGTTTTAGCTTAACTGGAGTGTTGAAGACTTTAACTTTCAAGGAAATTTTAGTTTAGTTTATAGTTTAAGCAGTTGGATTGTTTTTCTGATTTAAACTTAACTTTGGGGATTATTTTAGATTTTTTCTGTTTACTTTTAACTTTGTTGTTACTGTAACTTACAAGGGGAGAACAATAAAGAGGTAAGAGAAACTATTTAATGTTTCTCTTCTCTTGTCAGTTTGACACATCCACAGTAAACACTTGTCCTTTTATCTTGTTGTTAACTTTATGTATAACAAAGATTTGAATTACGCATTTATGTACCACTCTTTTCTGTGTAATGAACTTTATTGGATTTCAGAGAAATACATAACGCATATTCCATGACTTGATAGTTTATGAACCTGCAGTTAGTGGACTCTAACCAAGTACTTTTAGGGAAATTCACTAGCTGGAAAATACCACACTAGCAAGACTTATGATGTTCTTTACTTTTTTCCAAATTTTGTTTTTTATATGATCTGTCCAGGTGAGTTTCGAATAATACGTGAAACCAAGAAATCTGACTGAGGTGGCTACTTGGAGAAAGGTGCCATGAAGGTATGATTTTGTGAATTTTTACTCATTTTAGATATTTGACTAAAAAATACGTCTTTTGCAATTATTTTGATGTGTCATTCAATTTTCTTTTCAGTTTAAAAGTAGTTGGATATTTGTGAATGTTATTGTTTTTTTAGGGGAACTGTTCCAGGTAGCCACATCGTCCACAAATTGTGAGGAAATACAATTATTTTTATCAAGTTGAAGCACAGTGCTTACGTACATGATGAATAATATAGGGCTAACTACTTCTCTATGTGAGACATTGGCCTTAGAAATAAAAGACTGAGTAAGTGCCTTCCACATTTACTCTAACGTTCCTGTCATTCAAATGTGTAATGTCCCATGGTGGTTTCATCTGGAACATTTGAAGCCGAAGATGATTTTGCACAATGTTGATTTGTTTGGTTTGTTTTGAATTTCGCGCAAAGCTAGACAATGGCTATCTGCGCTAGCCGTTCTTAATTTAGCAATGTAAGACTAGAGGGAAGGCAGCTAGTCATCACCACCCAATGCCAACTCTTGAGCTACTCTTTTATTAACAACTAGTGGGAATGACCATCACATTATAACGCCCCACGGCTGAAAGGGCGAGCATGTTTGGTGGGACGGGGATTCGAACCCGCAACCATCAGACTGCGAGTCGAGCGCCCTAACAACCTGGCCATGCCGGGCCATCCAAATGTTGACAAAGGTTTTTTCTACATCTAATAAATAAGCAACTGCACAATGATTTTTACTCAGATTATCGATAATTGTTTCTGTAAGTCTGATTAAGTGATACAGAAACGAAGCAGATTCTAATTTACTGCCAAAATTCAACCACAACGATAAAAGTGTAGTTTGCAAGAACCAATGCTGCTTACATCGCAAACTAGTTTAAAAACATTTCTAGGGTTGAAACAATTTGAGATGGTCTCGATCCTTCCCATGGAACTCAGACATTTAGTTTATCTACATGACAAAACCCTTATTTTTGTTGTTTTCCCTATTCTCGTTTCGTTTTCCGTATGTCGTAATCCTTAATATTCACGTTAGCGCTCTGACTTGATACTGGAACACGACTGTGTAAAACGTATAAAAATGGGTAATTATTTGATAAGATGATTGTACAGTGATTTGAGTTAAAATGATCTTTATGTACCAATGATGATGAGGAGGGTTGCAAGTCACTTGAGGAAAATAAAAATAAATGGCACAACAGTCGTAATACACAGAAAAGCATTCCTTCAACTATCGCTACTAATTTTCTGTAGGGAAGTACTTCATGCTAAGTTTCATAATTTAAAGTTGTATTTGTTGTGGTTTTTGAATCACTGTTTGCGGTAATGTGAAAAATACATATTACTCACATACTAAGAAAAAATATTTATGTTCTTTAGTCGAATTAAAAGTAATCAAGGATTGTTTGTTTGGTTTGTTTTAAATTTCACGCAAAGCTATTCGAGGTCTATCTCAGCATCTGTGCTAGTCGTTCCTAATTGAGCAGTGATAGACTAGAAGAAAGGCAGTTAGTCAACAACATCCACTGCCAACTCTTGGGATATTCTTTTCACTAACGAATAATAGGATTGATATTTACGTTATAACGACCTCACGGCTGAAAGG